AGAACATAATGCCCCACAGAGCATTTTCATTTGCAGCTGACACGCAGGGACCACTGTAATTGAAGTCCCAGACTTGAGACTCTCTGAGTCACCCATGTGAGGACAATGTTACCTCCCATTCACTCTCACCGCTGTGGTTCCCCAACTCATCTGCAACTTGGAATTGTCTGGGGAGCTTCAAAATACCCCAATGCCGGTGTCCCATCCCAGAGACTGTGATTTAATCGGTCTGTGGGGTGGCCTGTGCTTTGGAATTGTTAGAAGCTCTCCAGTGATTCTAATGTGCAGACAGGTTTGGGAAGCTTGCTCTAAGAGTAAAGCTCTTCAGGACCTCAACTTAGTGTGTGAGTATTTATCAGACTCTCCACTTGGCAGTCTCTTTTATCTGTTTTGCCAGTGAGGCTGCCAAATACCACAGCTCCACATTGCAGCTGTTTCTTCCTGACTGGGGCAAAGGCAGCTTTGAGTACTTGCTTCTCATATTCATCCAAATTTTGGCATGAAAATCCTTCACTGTCTTATCAGCTCTTTGATGCTTTTAAGAAAAATTAAAATATATATTGTATTTATATTTATAAAATATATATTTAATTGTATATTTAAAATATTATATATTATACATACTTAAACATATATAACCCTATATAATAAAAGCCTAATATGCTAAGTGTCTGGTCATCCAGTTGACCAGTCAACCAATCAAAGCGTAATATGCTAATGATATGCTAAGGCTGCTCAACCACTTTCTATGACATGCACTGACCACCAGGGGGCAGACACTCCGACTGGTAGGTTAGCTTGCTGCTGGGGTCCAGCTGATTGGGACTGAGCAAGATGGGCCAGACACACCCTGCAGCTCTCCTTCGGTCCCTCCCCAGAGGGCCAACCTCTCACGTCCCTCCCTGGCCCCAATCATGCACTGGTGGGGTTCCTTGGCCTGGCCTGCACCCTCTTGCAATCTGGGACCCCTCAGGGGATGTTGGAGAACCAGTTTTGGCCTGATCCCGCAGGCCAGGCCGAGGGAACCCACTGGTGCACGAATTCATGCACCGGGCCTCTAGTCTACACTAAGAAAAGACAAAGATGCTAATTGACCATACCTTCACTATGCTCATCAGCCAATCAGAAGAGTATGCAAATTAATCCAACAAAGATGGCCGTTAAATTTGCATACTGCAGGCAGATCCTGCTGCACCTGCCCTGTGCAGGTGGCAGCTTGATCCCCAGCTGCTGCCCGCCCCAGCACGGGATCCGGGTCTGCCATGTGCGGCCCGGGGTGGCGGGGGTGGGGGTCGGGGGAGGAGGTGGGTGGCAGCACGATCCCGAGCCGCCACCCGCCCCAGTGCCGGGATCCGGGCCTGCCGTGTGTGACCGGGGAGACGGGGCAGGCACCGCGGGATCAGGCGTGCCATCTGCCACCAGGGGAGTGGGCCTAAGCCAACAGGTGGTTATCTCCCGAGGGGTCCCAGACTGTGAGAGGGCACAGGTTGGGCTGAGAGATGCCCCCCGCCCCCCGCCGCCAGTGCACAAATTTTTGTGCACCAGGCTTCTAGTATTAAATAAATAGGTATATGTTATGTAGTTTTTTCTATTGTTGACCTCAATGGAAGGATTGATTTATCCTGCCATTAAGAGAATTGAAAATCTTCCAATTGCTTTTTTTTTTAAATGTTCAATGATCTCTGAACTTTCATTGGCCTACTGTCCCCCTAAGGGGTGCTCCTCAGACACCACTTTGCCATCCACCATCATGCAGGTGGTCGTCATTTGGATGGATTGCATAGAGTTGCTGTGGTCCACGTTTTTACCAAAATCAAAGTCCTTCCCTTCTTCCAGCAGGAGGCAGTAGGTAGAAATCTCATCCTCCAGCTTGACTTTGGTGTTCAGCAGGGCCTGGTACTCCTGGACCTGGTGCTGCCCCTCTGCCCAGGTCTGAGCCAGCTCTGCCTCCAGCTGCTCAGGATCCCATTGAGCTGTTCCATCCACATGGCATAGCATGTCTCCACCTCCCTCAGGCTGTTCTCAAAATTGGCCTTCAGATTTCTCATCAAGTCCAGGTCAGTCGCCAAGGACTGAACCATACGTCTCAGTTGCATGAGTATCATCTCAGCAGCTCCTGTCTTGACAGTCTGTGAGTTGACCACTATGGTGCCCTCCTCAATCTGCTGGGACCAGTATTTGTCTAGCTCCTCTTGGTTTTTCTGAATTAGCTCGTCATACTGGGCATGGATGTTCGTCATGATCTTGCTGAGGTCTTGATATTTGGAGGCATCCAACTCCCCGGTCAACCCAGAGTTGGCAATCTGGTTTTGTAGACCATTTATTTCCTCCTTGTAGTTCTTCTTCATGAAGAGCAGCTCCTCCTTGAAAGCCTTGATCTGTCTCCAACTGCAGCTGAGTGATGTTGGTGTCATTAGTGACCTGTTGGAACCCTGGATGTTTCTCTCCACAGAGTGGTGCATGGCCAGCTCCATCTCATACTTGACTCTGAAGTCATCAGCAGCAAGATAGACATTGTCAATCTGCAAAATAATGTAGGCATTGCCGACAGAACTTGCAAAGACCTGAGCCCTCAGGTCCTCTGGGATCTTGAAGTAATGCCCCCTAGTCTCTGACTTGGGGTCCCTTCTTCTGCAGGTGTGTCTGGATTTTGCTCTCCAGTCTCCTCTATTATCAACCTCCAGGCTACTCACCCTCTCCAGGTATTGAATAATCTCTTTCTTTCTCTGGATGCCCCCTATGCCTGCCAGACCCCGGGCCATCTCTGCAGCCAGGACCCTGGACCCCTAGCCGCCCCACGTGCTCGTGGAGTAGGCCATGGAGACCTGGGAGCCCGAGCCCCCAGGGCATATATAGGCTCTGGCCACACTGCTGGCCAGCTGGGCCTGGTGGCTGGGTGACTGTATGGAGCCCAGGGTCCAGTAGTTGGTGGAAAAGGTGGAGCTGGTGCTGAAACTTATTGTCCATGGAGGAAGGCAAGAAGCCAAGACTCAGGTTCGTGCTGTTCCTCCCCCAGTGTCTTTTAAAAAGAAGAAATGGGTAATATTTTGGAGTTCTTACCCTTCTGAAAATGTCTTTATTCTAGCCACTCCTTGGAGTCATAATTTGGCTGGGATTTGAAGTCTAGACTGAACCTTAATATTCCTTCAAATATTTGAAGGCACTATTTTATTGATCTCTAACATTCACTGTAGCTGTTGAATAATCCTATTCCTACCTGGTGCCTGTTTCCTTGCAAATGACTGCCCCGCCCCTGCTCCCGTCCCCCCTCCCACCCCCCCTTATCTCTTTGGGAACCATTAGGATCTTCTCTTTTCCCCCAGAACTCTGACATCTCACAATTTACATACTTTTATAAGGATTTTATTTCATCCATTTTCTTGGGCATAAAAAAGACATTTATCATCCAGAGATTTTTGTTTTACTGCTAAAAAAGTTTGTCATCTTACTTTCATATTTTCCACCTCTCTGTTTTCTCACTTCTCTATTTTAAGAAATCATTTTGGTTGGATTCGTCCTTTATGTTAATTATGTTTTCTTTTCTATTTTTTTGTGCTAATGTCTTTTTGTGCTAGTTTTTAGATTTCCTCAACTTTATTCTTCAATCTTTCTAATGAATGTTTTAATTTAATTTAATTTTTATTTCCAGAAGAAATTTTTATTTCTTGTTTTTTTATTTATCTTTTTACATAACCTCTACTTCTGGGTATAAGAATACATTCACTTCACTTATTTCTTTAGGGTTGTAGATTTTTAAATATCCTTCTCTGTTTGTTTCCTTCAGATTTTTTTTTTCTTTATTCTTGTGACTATCTTTCTCTTTCATGTTTGCAGTTTTCCTCAGTTGCCTGGGAGCCTTGGCTTTCTGTTCATATTTAAGAGTGAGCCTCCAAAATATTGCTTGGAGGCTCTGAGTGAGTAGGCAGGACTTGTTGACCTGTAGGCTCCATTTAGCAGGGAGTTCATAAGAAGGAAGGAAGGAAGGAAGGAAGGAAGGAAGGAAGGAAGGAAGGAAGGAAGGAAGGAAGGAAGGAAAGGAAGGACTAATTAATAAAGAGACTTGACATGAGATATAAATTTGGAATACATGGGGGAGCCAGGGAAGCTTAGCTTTAGTAACTAAGGTCTCTCTGAATCTCTGGACCCAGGGTTTTTTATTCACACATTTTTGCCCTATAGCTAAGCAGATATACATATCAAAGGTAAGGCCTGGTAAACAGTAAAATTATCAGGTTGGGGAAACTGCCCTCAGCTGTCTGGCAGCAGGCAATTATATATGCAGATTTTCAGGTTTGGGGAAATGCTTTCAGCTATTCCAGCAGCAGGTAATATTATTCAGCCCTGCTGAAGCCTCTAGTTCCATCAACATTTTATGAACTTTATGACCTGCTGGAATTAGCCCCCAGCAGAATATAACTCTTCAGTCACTAGACTTGGAAATGAGTAGCCTTACTTTGTGAGGAGAGGGAAGGATATGACCACTCCAAAAGAAAACTTTCAACAACGTCTGTTTTTAGCTCCTCAGCTCAACCCAGCCCTTCATTGTACCTACTGTCTCCAAAGCTGAGCATCTCACAGTTTTCCCTCAGGTGAATTGGCTCACTTATTAGTGGTTATGCCCCTCCGGGTGGCTTAGATCGTTGCTTCCTCTGCATTGTGAAATCACTCACTGCTCCTCTATCTGGTCCTATCTTCTAAAATTGCATTTAATTCTTTTGTCTGCTTTCATCTTCTTTATTCTCTTTGTCTTATACAGGTTTCTACTTTCTTTTTGTTGATGTAGTTCCTTAACTATCAATTTAGTGGAGTCTTAAGCAGAAGAGGAGGTAAAAATCCTCATTCTTTTTTGTTGTTGTTGTTGCAAAAAGCTTTATTGTCTCATTTGGTCCAATGCATGGGAGAGGGCTCCAGGGTGGTTAAAGGAATGCCTAGTAGTTTCGGGAAGAGGCTCAGGTAAAAGCCAGAGATGCCAGGGTGGTGCGGGGCTCGGAAAGGCCTCTGGGCTCCAAAGGCTCCTAGTCGTGCTTGAGGGTGAGCCTCTCTAAGAGATACTCGCCCAGCCCAGCCTGGGGGCCGGCCAGCCTGCGGAGGTTAGTCAGGTGGTCGCCCATCTTCTTGATGAGTTTCACCTCCTCATCCAGGAAGTGGTTCTCCAGGAAGTCGCAGAGATGGGGGTCTACACGGGTCGAACCCAGGGCATGCAGATCCAAAAGGGCCTGGTTCAGGTTCTTCTCCAAGGCCAGGGCGGCTTCCATGGCGTCCTGAGTTTTGCCCCACTCATCCTGGGAAGGTTTCTGCACGTCCTGGAAGAGAATGCGGCCGCAGCGCTTGTTCTGCAACTTTAGGAGATGCTCCGCGCCCTCGCGCTTCTTCTCCGCCAGCTCGCCCACGCCCTCCAGAGCCACATCATCGCGGTCGAAATAGTAGCCCAGAGAAAGGTAGGTGTAGGAGGCCCGCAGATGCGGCTTGGCCAGGCGGTTGACCGCAGCCTCCACCTCAGTGGAATAATTCTGACAAATTTGGGAGCTCATGGTTGTTAGGCAATAAGGAGTTTAAGGTAGAAAAAAAAAAACACCAACAAAACCGGTGTTGGCTGGTCCGGAGGGTGGTCCTGAAGGTGGTGAGTGGATAAGACACAGGAGAGTGGCCGGAGGCTGGAAGAAGGGGCATCCCTGGGTCTGTTCCGTCCAAACACTGTTGAAGCAAGAGACAGATCCGGGAGCTCCGAGTGCGCTGCCAAAAATCCTCATTCTTGAAACATATTCCAATAAACTTTAGACAGCTTGTCTGTTAAAGACAACTTACTAGCCCTAACCGGTTTGGCTCAGTGGATAGAGCGTCGGCCTGCGGACTCAAGGGTCCCAGGTTCATTCCGGTCAAGGGCATGTACCTTGGTTTCGGGCACATCCCCAGTGGGGAGTGTGCAGGAGGCAGCTGATCGGTGTTTCTCTCTCATCGATGTTTCTAACTCTCTATCCCTCTCCCTTCCTCTCTGTAAAAAATCAATAAAGTATATATTTTTTAAAAAAGACAATTTACTAGGATTGCTTTGGATTTATAGGTTAACTTGAAAATTGCCACTTCTGTGTTACAGTGTCTTCATATCCAAACATGGTAAGTATCTCCATTTATTTTGATCATTATTACCTTCTGCAAGTTTTTGCAATTTTCTTATGTTGGCTTCATTACTAAAAATACTCTGATGAAGAGCAGTAATGACACAAATGAAAAGCATATGTGAGCCTGAAGATTGACCTGAAAATTTGACCCAGAACATAGGGCAAAAGGACAAAGAGAAAAACACATGAGGGAAGAGTTAAGAGACTTGGAAAACAGATGCAGTAATTCCAACAGCCTTCTAATAAGAGTTTCATAAGGATAGGACCGAGAGTATAGAGGAAGAAATGAAAGAATAAAATTTTCTAAAGTTGCAGAATGAGGAAAACACACATCCTACTCCACATTGTGGGCAACTTTGCAGAAAGATAAAGAGGAAATTCTGAAGGATTCAAGAGAGCAAAGATAAGTTAAATAAATTTATGCCCTGAGGATTTTCTCCACTCATCACAAACAGATTAGAATCACTGACTACAGAGATAGCAAATAAAAACTGCAAATATTTATCCCTTGGTAGCAAACGTTGTCTGTTACCAGAACCAGGAAACCCAGTGGAAGTTGTATCAGCATGGCATTGCTATATATGTCACTCTCCTTTCTAGACATTGAGGGACCACCATTAACAGCAGAAAGCACAGAGCCCATTTATCTTCCAGATAGTTGTGATGCCTCCAGGCTCCCCACTCCTCCATTGAGCATGCTCCATTTGGAGAGCCACTCTCTCATCTTATCCTACCATCAGTTCAGAGTCCCAAAAAACTCTTTGAAACAGAAGTGGGGGGTGGGAGGACTTGGACACTTAGAATTACACGTTTCCCTGCATCTTGATGGAGGGGGAGTATCCTTTACATTAAGGGAAAACCCAAAGCAAGGCCTGAGACTGCCCAGTCTCAATCTCAGATTTCTCTTACATTCAGAGGTCCAAGAAGAAAATATGTTTATTGAAAGATCCTCTTGAGATTTTAAATATGTTTTTATTGATTTTTAGAGAGAGAGGGAAGAGGGATAGAGAGATAGAAACATCAATGAGAGACTTCAATCCGTTGCCTCCTGCACTCCCCCTACTAGGGATTGAGCCCACAATCCGGACATGTGCCCTGACCAGGAATCGAATTATGACCACCTGGTTCATGGATCAGTGCTCAACCACTGAGCAACACCAGCCGGGCCCTCTTGAGATTTTAGTGCTCTGCCAGTTCTTTCCCTAATGAGATGTGGGGCAAATCAAATTGTGTATTTACTAAGCAAATGTATATAGCATATAGCTTACAAGCTTTATCTCCTCATTTTTCAGATGTGCAAATAGATTATAAATGGCAGCCTGAGAAGTATGGGTGGATAGTCTCACCTGTTATTAGAGTTATGGAGAAGGGCATTTTTTAATGCTGATTATGTGTACTATAATCTGTCCTAGCACACACTGTTGAAACTCTTTCCTTTGCCTCCTTTAGATGCCTCTGAATTACTGCCCAACTACAGGTTCAGGACTCTACAAAGTATGAGCATTAGAGCCATTAGACTGAGAACCTGAACTAGCCTGAGAAAGTGGAACAGCCTTTCTCCACCCCCATTCAATTGCTCAATAAATGTGAGGTTGGTGCCTGGTGCTGGGAAAAGAAAAGATAAACATGGCCCTGCCTTTAAGGGACTAAAATTCCAGCTTCATCACCTATTGCCCAGGTAGGCTTGAGTATGTCATTTAAGCTCCCTGATCCTTCAGTTTCTCATCTTTAAATAGAATGCTGGCTTCGCCTACCTGACTCACAGGTTGTGTGTGTGTGTGTGTGTGTATGTGTGTGTGTGTGTGTGTGTGTAGTCAAATAATATACATAAAAGTGGTTATGAGAAAACCCATAGGACATTATTATCATTTTCCTTACAATGTCTTTGTCCTAATTAATATGAGTTTCTAAATAAATGGTGGATTCAAATAATGTTTTCATTTCCCACCAGAATGAGCAGAGTATATTTCTTCTTGGTGTGTGATAGCTCTTTCCCCTCCCTTTCATCTCCTATCATCTTTTTTCACTGGGTTCTGTAGGGCATGTGTTAGTCACTTCTGCTCTGGTTAACTACAAAGTTCTCTGCCCTTCCCTTGAAACACCAGGAGAGAGTATGCAATGCCATTGGCTGGGAGGTTTCTCACTGAGCTCTCCTGGGTGGTTTCATCCTCCATTCCTGAGCTTCCCAAGGGGTGTCCCAGCTGTTGTATTGGGGCTGATCAGGAAGGCAAGGCTGATTTCCATTGTTCGGGTTCTGATTTCTGTCCATGGGGCTTATCAGGCCAAACCACCTATTTTCAATCAAGTTAATGATAACTAACACTTCAGTGTTCTAAGAACTTTACATACATTAACTTATTTAGTCCCAACAACAACCTTGTGTGATCCCATGTCATGGAGAAAACTGAGACTCAGATTATTTAACAAAGTTACTCAAGGTCACAAAGCTGGTGAGTAGCAGAGCTGGACTTTGATCTCAAGAAATCACTCCCCAGATTCTAGACTCCTAGCCACATAGTTATCCTGGCTCTTAAATGAGCTTTGCTTAACTGCCAGCTCAGAGTCAAGAAAATCTCCCCGAATTTAAAGCGCCTAGCAGGGTGCTGGCATTCCTTAAATCTTTGATGATTTAAATAAGAGTCAACTCTGAGGTTTCACCTCCTCTGTACTCAATATTCCAGCCAATTGGACACTGATCTCCTCAATGCTTAAATATCAGGCTAATGGCTGGTTGAACCATGTGAAATTGTCACTATTGGCCATTTTGGACCTATGTAAATGGCAATTTCACATGGGCCAACTTATCCTCTGCTGAGCCCCTACTTATATTATACAAGGTTTAATTCCAAGCACTTCTGTTATGCCATTTCATTTAATCCTCACAACAGTGCAGGCATGCCTCGTTTTTATTGCTCTTTGCTTTATTGTACTTCACAATGCTGAGTTGTTTTTTTTTTTGTTTTTTTGTGTTTTTTTTTCAAATTGAAGGCAAGATCCTCCACCAGCAAAAAAGTTATGACTTTGTTGTAATACTCTTTATTGTGATGGTCTTCCACTGGGGTATGCCCGTCCATACTTCAAAGTGTTTTTAATCTTCATTTTTTGTGAGCAAGGTAACAGACTCAGACTCACTAGCTGGAGGTCACACAGCAATTGTAAGTGGTAAATCCAGAAAGCCTATTCTAAAATGGGTTCTTTTCCACCGCACAGCATCTGTCGTGCAGCTGGACATCCTAGAAGCAAAAATGAAGGGTTACATTCAACTGGCAGACTCAAGTGATACTAGTTTTGAAGTGAGTCATGTGTCAAAAAGGGAAAATAATATGAGCTCTGGAAAACAGGCAGATATGACTTAATCAGTAGCAAAAGTTGTCTTTGGAAAACGGCATCAGACCAGCTCAAGTTTCTTCAGTGTGGTCACTGGAGTCGTTGTGGGTGTGCTTGCGCAGCTTTAAAGAGAATTGGGGAATTGAAGGTTGATTTGCCTAATTGGAGAACTCTGTTCTGCATAGCTGATCAAGGGATGCCCAGATGGAGAGCATGTGAAAGAGCAGGAGACTATTGGAATTCCAGGTTGAGACAAATACAGCTTGGAATAATTTAGGGGTAGTTTGGGGGAGAAGTGAGGTGGGGAGGTGTTTCATAGTTCAACCAGAAAAATTGAAAAAGTGGGGCTCCCTAGCATCCCCGGTGCTGACTGAGCCGTCTGGAGCTTGAGAATCCACCTGGAAACATTTTGGAATGACTATGGACTGTAAGTTATGAAACCTCTGCTGGGAAGGGAGGTGGGAGTGCTAAATGGGCACAAACACACTGAGATGTGTTCCGATGAAGTGGAGTATTATTCAGGAATAGATGCAGAAACAGTTGAAGTGCTTCCTAGGTGCTCATTTTAAATCTTTGATTTCCCTCTGTGGGAAACTACTTTCATCTGGTTCTTTTCAATATGGATTGAGTCATGTACTCTTTATTTGCCACAAGCATTTATTTGCCATAACTATTTTAAAGCATTGGACAAGTGCTGCCTCATGCTTAGGGCATTGATTGGAACACCCTTGCTGAGCTGCTGTCTCACCAAGCATAGGAGTTTGAGATGAATTCCCAGCCACTGGAACAAAAACTACCAAAACAAAGTATGAGTGAGTGTTGTCATTGACGAACAGATCTTTGTTTTAACTTTTTATCTGGGCAATCTGCCAGGTTGGGAGCATAAAGGTTTGCAGATTGCCTTCTCAGAGTTTATAATCTTTTTGAGGAAAATATGCACACACAGAGGACAGTGTTTTGTAAATGCCAAATGTGTGGTGAATAGACAATGGAAGTTATAGGAAGCAAACAACAACAATAACAAAACAAAAAAAACCCACACGTAAGTGCAGGAAAGAAAGGCAGATGTATCTTATTAAATACTAAATTTTGTATTTTATTCAAAAACTAATAAATTTTGCCAGATACATTTTTAAAAAAGAAAGTTATAGGAAGCAAAGAGGCTGACATTTGCAATGCAGCTAACAGAGGCAAGGATTGCTATAGAAGGTAGATTTGAGCTGATCCTTATTCGGGGGTCCAGGGGAGAGAACAGAAGTCATTGCAGGCAGAGGGAATGGCACATGCATAGACACACACACACACA